AATCATGCCTTATTTAAGTACTTCATCACATCGATCCTTGGAAAGATTGTGAGAAATTGAATTGAATCAAACTATCTTCTTAAAATCTGGTATGAACAAGAACAATTACTAATATTTAGATTGCATGCAACGGTTTGAATGCCACACTTAAAAATTTCTCCATCATCAATAAAAGTTAGTACTTGATGATAAAAACCAAATAATTCACCAATAATATTAATTAGAGCAACTCCACCCTTGGAGCCCTCCCCCCTAGCAATCCACTATCCAATCCACCTAGTGAACAGTAATTGCCCGTAATAAACAGTAATTGCCATTTGCATCTCCACCCTTGGAACCCTCCCCTGGCAATTGGTAATAAAATATTAATATTTTTTTTCTCACCCAATCCATAAAATATTATTATTTTATTTATTTCTCTCTCTCTCTCACTCTCTCTTCTCTTCACCGTGGCTCCTCTTCTTCTTCACCTTCTTCACCCTCGCATTCACCCTCACCTCATCAGCACCACCATCCCCCAAACCCTCCCCGCCTCCTTCTTCACCCCCACCTCCGTACTCCCCATCCCGCCCGCCGTCCTGGACGCACCTCCGTACTCCCCATCCCGCCCGCCTCACCGCCCTCACCCCCACCTCCGTACTCCCCATCCCGCCCGCCGTCCTGGACGCACCTCCGTACTCCCCATCCCACCCACCTCACGCCCTCACCCGCCTCACCGCCGTACTGGACGCACCTGCAGAACCTGATAGAAAAAAATATTAAAAAAGGCGTCTGACTTCAGATCCACCTCAGGCGCTCGGGCTGGCACGAATCCAACGGCCTGGCGCTCGGGCCTGCTCAGGCTCCCTCGCTAGCCAACGCTGGACTTCCTCCCACCGGCCCTCGGGCCCTTTCCTGGAGCCTGTTCCCTGAGCAACCACCAACGATGGACTTGCTCTTACGTACAGTTGAACCCCTTGCAACTTGCAAGTGATTTTAGGGTTCTTGCATGGTGAGACAATAACGTATGGCATATGCGTATAAAATATCAAAATTACATCCATCTTTTTATTTCATGCGTATTAGCTGCAAGCCTGCAAACATGAAACAGCCTATATTTGCTACTTGGTAAGTGCCAATTGACAACTGCAGCTCGTTCTGTTATTGTGAATGGGATCGAATCGATCGATCGATCGATCATATTGGAGTAATTTCAATCAACAAAAAAAATTTGCAAAAACAATGCAGATTAGTAGCTGAGCATGGTAAACAATTATCGACGTACTGCGATGAACTTGTTAGAATTCCTTTGTCCCACATCGGCCAGAAGGCTTGAAAACAAGTCATTTATATAGAATTAGCTCACTCTAACTAACACCGAGGCCTTTTGTATTAAAACCCTACACCTGACGGATTAAGCAAGTGGTCAAGTGGCGACAGTATCGGTGTTGTTGGAGTGGGCTCATGGCCCGTCTACTTGAAATTTAAGATGGTATCAGAGCCAGGGGATGGGCCCGTACATCCACGTGAACGGGTGGGTCCTCTTTGACCATGTGCCAATGGGTGAGCCCCAACTTGGCTCCACGTAGGCCAAGAGAAGCCCCGTGAATAGGTGGGTCCCCATTGGCCCTATGCTAACAGGTGAGCCCCGGCTTGGCTCCACGTGGTTGCTGATATGTGGAACTTCACGTGTGACCCATAAAATGGGATATCACATGCGGGGGAGTGTTAGAATTCCTCTGTCCCACATCGGCCATAAGGCTTAAGAACAAGCCATTTATATAGAATTACCCCACTCTAACTAACAATGAGGCATTTTGTATTAAAACCCCATACCTGACGGATTGAGCAGATGGCTAAGTGGGGACAGTATCGGTGTTGTTGGAGTGGACCCATGACCTGTTTACCTAAAATTTAAGGTGGTATCAAAGCCAGGGGACGAGCCCGTACTGCCAAGTGAACGGGTGGGTCTCCTTTGACCCCACGCAAATGGGTGAGCCCCGACTTGGCTCCAAGTAGGCCAAGAGATGCCACGTGAATGGATGGGTCCCCATTGGCCATGCGCGAACGGGTGAGCCCTGACTTGGCTCCATGTGGTTGCCGATGTGTGGAACTTCACGTGTGACCCATAAAATGGGGTCTCACATGCAGGGGAGTGTTAGAATTCCTCTGTCTCACATCGGCTAGAAGGCTTGAGAATCAAGTCCTTTAAATAGAATTGCCTCACTCTAACTAACACCGAGACCTTTTGTATTAAAACCCCACACCTGACGGATTGAGTAGGTGACCAAGTGGGGACAATATCGGTGTTGTTGGAGTGGGTTCATGGCCTGTTTAAGAGATCCAAATGCAGTAGAAGAAATGGGAAATGTAATTATTAATGTGATCAATAAATTTGACTCCATTTATCTTATGGGTATAGTTCCCGTTCATTAAACATCTATAAATTCATGTCACTAGTAGAAAAGTCGAGTAGTATTTTTATTATTTGTAAATGTGAGGTTTTATCTTTCATTCATATGAATTGCAAGTTCGACGTTAAACTAAGTGGTTGGCTTAACCCAACTTCTATGTCCAATAGAATTGTATCAAACAAAGCAAACGTAAACTTCTTGATACAAAAAATATATCTTATTTTAATTATTTAGCCGGCATCTACGTTCCATTGATGAAAAACCAAATTCATACACGTTACTTAATTGATGATGATGATGATGATGAGCCGCGGTTGAAAATTAAAAAGAGGCAAAGGGGATATATTTGATTTTGACGTTGTACTTGCACTAATAAATAATAATTGGTACCTAATATTCATACTATTGGCCATTTCCTTCTTGTGGTTCACACGAGAGAAAAATAAAGGCAAATATTAAATAAAGATGTAAGAGGAAAGGGGCAACAAACTTTCAAATTTCTAATAAGACGGTACTGGGAAAGTTAGATTGAAAAAGGCCCAGGACTAAATAATATTCGGAAATAGGAATGGTGGTTGAATCTTGACTGTGGCAGAATTTGAAGACTTGTCTTAAACTTTAAAGACAATATAAATATAAACCCAACATGACCAGTGTGCTAACTAGTATCGATGATCACATGACGCATGGTTAATTATTATATTACCTAAAATTCAAATGTAATACTAAACAAAGGAAATGATCATCGCCAGATCCTTTTTTTGGAGATTCTTAGAAATCGTGTAATCATGTATATTCATCGTACAGAAATTATTTAAAATTTAAAATTTAAAATTAAATATAAATATACAATGAACTGATATGATTACACAATCCCCGATCCTCAAGAAAAGAATCCGGCGATGATTCTTTTCCCTAAACAAAACCCCCACTTACTCTCTATATACTATAGTCAATAATTGTTAGAGTAAGATCTCTTTGGTTCTTTACAGTACATGCAACCTGAACCACTGTATATACATTTTTCAGTAATGCTAGGTAGAAAAACATTTTTCATTATAATCGCAATACAGTCACGTTGTTATTCATTTTTTATTGCTATAACACTTATTCATACTATACGTAACTCATGAAATATATATATTTTTAAATAGTATTATTAAGAAGAGGGAGAAGGTTCAAAAGTCGAAACTATTGCGATAATTTAAGGAAGGGGAAAATTTCGAATCCGAGATGCATTGACGAAAACCAACACTTTATCCATTAGGATATATATTAAACCGCCAAATTCATACAATATCTATTCTGTCATTCACCCATAATAAAACACGTAAATGAGTAACACAATATATGTACTGTTACACAGAAATTTTCCTCAAAGCAGGTATTGGTAATTAATTACTATGATTAGAATATGTGATTCCAACAGACAGGTGGATCATTATGAGCTTTAATTTAGATCCTCTCCACCAATCAGTGTAAGTGTACATGATGAAACTGACTAAGTTTCCAATTATTTATATATAAAATTATGCTGAATCTTGAAAAATAATGAACAAGGTGGTCTCTGCCTAAGAATGAACACAACACAACGCAGCTGCCCCCACACAATAGGAAACAAATCCGTGATTGTCGCTAAAGACTAAAAGAGTTGCAAAAACCCAAAGCCAAAGCACAAACTCTTGTGGAGAGATAGAGACAGGAGGGTGTAAGTAGATGCAGCAGTAGTAGCTAGCTTTCCAGTTATGGGAAGAAATCCTTGTTGTTCCAAGTGTCACGGGATGACTCTTTAAGCCTTCCGCCCGTGCGGCACTTAGACTTGAATACCTCGATGAACAAGCTAAGTAAGCCTTCGAAGCCTCGCTTCCCCGGATCGAATCACAAAGAAAGCTAAGATAGCTTGGAGAATGCTAAGATCACTTAGAAGATGGGAGAAAGGAAGCTTTGTATTGAAAGTTAAGAGAACTTTACAATTGCTTACAATTCTTGGGATGGTTTGGCCAAATGGCCTTACCTCCTATTTATAGGCCTAAGTCACCTCCTCAATGGAGGGTTCTAGAATCCCCTACTTACATCCAAAAATATCTAGCATAGTTCTAGATACAACTTGCCTAATCTAGATTATTCTAGGTGAGGCTTAAATATGTACACTTGTGTGGAATGTTCCGGAATGCCCTAGATTATCTTGAATGCTCCGCCACGTTCTTGATTTCTCCGGACGTTCCAGAAGCTTCCATGAAGACAAGGCTTTATGGGCTTAGATATATGATGTCTTGGGCATTTTCTTTGTTTTTAACATGCGGCCCGTGACATCCTCCCCCACTTAAGCCGTCGACGTCCTCGTCGACTCTTGCCTCTCGAATGTCTCGATCAAGTCCTTATATTGCCATAAGGACGACTCCTTCTCCCATGTTGCTTCGGAGTATGGTAGCCCCTTCCATTTGACAAAGTACTCCACATGCTTTGGTTGTCTTGGTCGCACCACGACACGCTTAGCTTCAATGTTCTCCACTTCTTTGTCAAACGCCTCTGTCATCAAAGGGGGTGCTCGATGAGACTCACCTCGACTTGGTTCCTCATCGTCCGCATGATAAGGCTTCAAGTTGCTCACATGGAACACCGGGTGAAACTTGAGGCGAGGTGGAGTTCCACAACATACGCAGCTTTGCCAACCTTCTTGATGATAGGGAATGGTCCCTCATATTTCCGCAACAAGCTCTTGTGCAAGCCACGAGTACTCTTGTGCTGAGACGCATTGAGCTTCACAAAGACTTGGTCGCCAGTTTGGAACTCCACATTCCTTCGCTTGCGATCCGCCCATTTCTTCATCTTTTTTGAAGCCTTCTCCAAATGAGCTCGAGCAAGTTCGTGGGCTAATTGCCACTCCTTAGCGGTTTTGAAAGCGGCTGGACTATTCCCCGTGTAGCCAGTCATGACCGTGTTCGGGGTCAAGGGTTGTTGCCCTATAGCCAACTCGAACGGACTTTTCCCCGTCGACTCCGAACGTTGCAAGTTATAAGAGAATTGGGCAACATCAAGTAACTTAGCCCAATCTCGTTGATTGGCACTAACATAGTGCCGCAAATAAGTCTCCAACAATGCATTAACCCGCTCCGTTTGTCCATCAGTTTGAGGATGAAAAGCTGTGGAGAAGTCTAACTTTGAGCCAAGTAGCTTGAAGAGCTCCTTCCAAAATCTACCCGTGAAGCGAGCATCTCGATCGCTGACTATGCTCCTCGGAACACCCCAATACTTCACCACGTGCTTTAGAAACAAGCGTGCAGCTACTTCGGCTGTGCACTCCACGGGTGCGGGTATGAAAGTGGCATACTTGGTGAATCTATCGACCACGACGAAGATAGATCCACATCCATCAGACTTGGACAAATGTGTAATGAAATCCATGGTTAAACACTCCCATGGTCTTGATGGGGTGGGAAGTGGTTCCAACAGTCCTCCCGGTTGCTTTTGTTCCACTTTGTCTTGTTGGCACACAAGACAAGTCTTCACGTACGAATCTACATCATCCCGCATTTGTGGCCAATAATAAGCATCGCTCACCAAAGCCAACGTGCGGTGAGTGCCAGGATGTCCTGCCCACATTGAGTCATGGCACTCCTTCAGGATTTCTTTCCTTAAGCTTCCCCACTTTGGGACGTAGATCCGCTTGCCCTTGGTGTATAGCAAGTCGTCCTCAAGCCAAAACCTTCTTGTCTTCCCTTCCTTGACAAACTCCACAATGTTCTTGGCTTGGACGTCATGTGATAAACCTTCTCGGACATGGCCCAAGAGATGGCTTTGCGGCTTTGAGTACCGTAGCCATTAACTCTACTCGTCTACTTAGAGCATCGGCCACCACGTTCTCCTTTCCTTGCTTGTACTCTAGCTTGTAATCAAACTCCGCTAAGAACTCTTGCCACCTTGCTTGCTTAGGTGTGAGCTTTTGTTGGGTTTGAAAGTAGCTAGTGGCAACGTTGTCCGTCTTGATGACGAATGGGGTACCAAGCAAGTAATGCCTCCAAACTCTAAGGCAATGGACGATGGCGGTCATCTCCTTTTCATGGGTCGTGTACCTCTTCTCGGCATTGTTTAGCTTGCGACTTTCATAGGCTATCGGATGTCCCTCTTGCATCAACACTCCTCCTATGGCAAAGTCGGAAGCATCAGTGTGCAACTCGAATGGCTTACTAAGGTCGGGCAACCTTAGTACAGGCTCCTCCATTAGGGCCTTCTTCAACCTCTCAAAAGGCCTCTTGACACCGGTCCGTCCATTCCCATGCCTTGTTTTTCTTAAGAAGGTCTGTTAAGGGTGCCGCTATAGCTGAATACCCTTTTATGAATCTCCGATAGTAGTTGGCTAACCCCAGAAAGGATCGTAGTGTTGGTACCTTGGTCGGCGGTTCCCACTCTTGAATGGCCTTGATCTTGCCCTTTTCCATCATAAGTTTCCCCTCCTTTATCTTGTGGCCAAGAAATTCTACTTCTTTTGTGGCAAAGGAGCATTTCTCCTTCTTGACATAGAGTTCATGCTCCCGAAGGGTCTTGAACACTATGCGCAAGTGCTTGACATGCTCCTCCAATGTCTTGCTATAGACAACGATATCATCAATGTAAACCACGACAAACTTGTCAAGATAAGGATGGAATACCTTGTTCATCAATGTGCAGAATGTTGCGGGGGCATTGGTCAGACCGAATGGCATGACTTTATACTCGAACGCTCCATATCTGGTCACCATCGCCGTCTTCGATTCGTCTCCAGGGGCTATCCTCACTTGGTAGTATCCCGATCGAAGATCTAACTTTGTGAAGTACCTTGCTTCACCAAGTTGATCGAATAAGTCGGCGATCAACGGAAGTGGGTACTTGTTCTTGATGGTAATCTTGTTCAATGCTCTATAGTCGATGCACAACCTTAGGCTACCTTCTTTCTTGCGTTGGAACAGGACGGGTGCACCATATGGGGACTTGGAGGGTTGGATGTAGCCAGCATCAAGTAGCTCGTTGAGTTGCTTCCTCAATTCCTCCAACTCGGGTGGCGACATCCTATAAGGTGATTTGGAGGGAGGCTTAGCACCAGGCTCCAACTCAATCGCATGGTCGACTTCTCTCCTTGGTGGCAACTTCTTAGGCAGTTCCTTAGGCATCACGTCCGCGAACTCCACCAGGACGTCTTCCACTTGTCTCGGCAAAGGCCCGTACTTCTCCTCCCCTTCATTCAACATTAGGGTTGCAAGAAATGTGGCCTCGCCTTTCTTCCAAGACTTGGCAAATTGAATTGCCGACAAGTGTTGGGTGCACTTCTTGGCGCTTGCCTTTTCCAATGGCACTAGGCAAGGTTGTCTTCCATCGGCCAGGATACAGAAAATATTGTAGAAGGGAATGGGAAAGGCTCGTACCTTGTCCATGAACTCTAACCCAATGACTACGCCATAGTCGTCCATCTTGACTATAGTGAAGTCGATCTCTCCCTTCCATGCGCCAATGTCTACTTGTACATTGCGCGCAACTCCAACAATAGGGGTGGCAGCGGAATTTACCGTCTTCACGCTACCAGGCTCCTTTGTGACTCGGAGGCCAAGCCTTGTTGCTTCCTCCGACGTCATGAAGTTGTGTGTTGCTCCCGTGTCCACCAACACACGCGTCGTCTTGTCACCAGTCTTGACGTCGACGAACAATGATCCTCCCCCAACTTGAGCCTTAGGTTGTGAGAGGGTTGTCTGGATGGCGTTCAGTAGACGGATGCATCCCATCGTTGCATCGTTACTCTCTTTGACCTTGTCCTCCTTGAAAGCCATGGCCTTAAGGGCCTTCTTTTGTGGGCAATCTCGCATCATGTGAGGGCCGTCGCATAGGTAACAAGTGGGTTGCCAAGACTTACCTTTGCCTTTGTCATGCTTATCGGCTTTCTTCTCCTTCGGTTTGCTTGTCTCGGCCTTGTCCTTCGACTTATGTTCTCCCCCACTTCTCTCATGGTTACCCCTCTTCCCCGTGGACTTGGAATCACCTTGGTGGCTTGATTTAAACTCAATCAAGGATTCGGCAGCGGCAATGGCATCAGACAATGTTTGCACGTGTCTCCTTTGTAGTTCGAGTTTTGCCCAATTTTGCAGTCCACTCATGAAGTACATGAGCTTGTCTTCCTCTAACATGTTGGGCACCTCGAATAACAAGCTCACGAAGGCGTTGACATAGTCTTTGACGCTCCCCGTTTGCTTGAGCCACCTTAGTTTCTCCTTGGCTTCGTACTTGGCATTTTGGGGATAGAAGTGCAACATAAGATCTTTCTTAAATTCATCCCAAGTGGTGAGAGAGAACGTACCTTGCTCAATCTCCATGCTCCGACGACGCCACCACATAAGGGCATTGTCAGCTAAGAACATGGTTGCCGTTGAGATTTTGGACTCGTCATCTTCAAGCTTCAGGTACTTGAAGTATCGTTCCACGTTCCACACGAATGTGTCAAGCTCCTTTGCTTCTCTCTTCCCATTATAGGATTTGGGTTTAAAGGAGTCGATTACCTTGGAGTCCAACGCCTTGATTTCCCTCGGCCCTTGCACGAATTGCTTCACGACTGCTTCTTTACAAAACGCCACATCTCCCTTAAGTTCCCTTGTGTCCTTTATCTCTTCTTGAAGCGCCACAAACCTTGCCTCTATGTTGTCAAGGTGACTTGGACTTCCCTCCGCATCTTGTCTGCCATGGTGTTGAGAGCGCCAAGGAGCTCATCTCGTAGCCCTTCCACCAAGCCACGCAGTTCATCCTTACCATTGTCCACCATGGTTTGGATTTCCTCCTTGTCGACAACATCCTCATCAAGTCGAGTATCGAACTCGAGTATGGTTCGTTCCACCTTCTCGAGTCGCTCTTCCATGGTCTCCATCGATGCTTGCAAGTCCTTTAACTTTGGCTTGCTCTTGGCAACGTCTTGGACCTCGACAGCACGCTCCCTTAGCTCGGAGACTCCGGACACCGTCTCTCCACTTGCCATATCCTACTTTCCTTCAAGTGATTCACGAACTAGGCTCTGATACCAGCTGTCACGGGATGACTCTTTAAGCCTTCCGCCCGTGCGGCACTTAGACTTGAATACCTCGATGAACAAGCTAAGTAAGCCTTCGAAGCCTCGCTTCCCCGGATCGAATCACAAAGAAAGCTAAGATAGCTTGGAGAATGCTAAGATCACTTAGAAGATGGGAGAAAGGAAGCTTTGTATTGAAAGTTAAGAGAACTTTACAATTGCTTACAATTCTTGGGATGGTTTGGCCAAATGGCCTTACCTCCTATTTATAGGCCTAAGTCACCTCCTCAATGGAGGGTTCTAGAATCCCCTACTTACATCCAAAAATATCTAGCATAGTTCTAGATACAACTTGCCTAATCTAGATTATTCTAGGTGAGGCTTAAATATGTACACTTGTGTGGAATGTTCCGGAATGCCCTAGATTATCTTGAATGCTCCGCCACGTTCTTGATTTCTCCGGGACGTTCCAGAAGCTTCCATGAAGACAAGGCTTTATGGGCTTAGATATATGATGTCTTGGGCATTTTCTTTGTTTTTAACATGCGGCCCGTGACACAAGGAAGGAGTGAAGAGAAGAGCATGGACTGCTCTTGAAGACAAAATGCTTGCAGATTACATCCAAGCACACAGTGAAAGAAAATGGAGCAATGTTCCTAAACAAGCAGGTGAATATCATGGTCGACGACGTTTTTCATTTTTATGTTTATCAACCATTATCATACGTGAGATTTGAACTCATGCGTTCTTTGGTTGAAATCGGAAACATGATGCAGGGCTGCTGTGGCTAAATTATCTGAGACCAAACAAGCGAGGCGACATTACATAAGATGAAGAAGATCTCATCATCAGACTCCACAAACTCTTAGGCAACAGATCTTGTATTGTCCTATTTGCTTCAACTCATATATATATTTTTTTTTTTTTTGAAATACGTTAAAATATCAAAAATTAAATCCCAATTGTTTAATTGACCAAAATTAATTAAATATCGACATACAAAACTAACAATTTCGTGAATTGGAATTTGATAAATGATCATTTCGACCAATTTCCTTTTTCTTCTTCTTTAATTTGTGTTGAATTTGATTACTAATTTACTTACGGTTAAATTTTGTGATTGGTGTAGATGGTCTCCAATAGCGGGAGAATTCCAGGACGAACAAACAATGACATCAAGAATTACTGGAATAACAATTTATGTAAGACACCACAACAGGAAGATAAATTATCATGTAGACCCTCCACCTCCACTGAGTTTTCAGACACAATATACAACAATCAAAAGTTGAAGAAAAACTAACAAATGACACCAGTTGCAATAATAATTTTGCATAGGGGTCCTTCATGCTTGGCAATTTAGTTGACATCATAGCAGAAGAATCTGAATCAAGGGAAGATGGTTATTCCAGATGCTGGGAAAATATTGGTGGAAGATTTTAGGGAGATGAGCCTCTCTGAGTTTCTGGATACTGACTTTGCAAAGCCGAGCAATGCGTTTGGGTTTGGGATGTGTGATGTCATGAGTTATGAAGTGATACTTGAAGGAGAATATGGCTATGGATTCTGGTGATGGATCTTAGATGGCTGCTTAATCACTGATAGCTGAGGAATAATGGCTTATGGAGTAAATAACAAATAGAGTAAATTGTAGCAATGGTCCTTGAACTTTAATCAAATTGGAGCAATGGTCCCTCAATTAAAAATTCATTACCATTGGTCCCTCAACTTATCAAAATGTGTAGCTATAGTCCTTTTCATCAATTTCTTCAAAATTTTGTCAAAATAAGTTATGTTGGAATAACCATTTATATAATTAGGGTCCCTCAACTCATCAAAGTGTGTAATTATGATCATTTTCGTCAACTATACATCAAAATTTTTGTCAAAACGAGTTATGTTTGAAGGATCATTGCTACAATTGGATTAAAGTTAATGGACCATTTCTCCAGTTGAATTAAAGTTGAGGGACCAAATGTAATGAATTTTTAGTTGAGGGATCATAGCTGCATGTTTTGATGAGTTGAAGGACCAATAGTAATGGATTTTTAGTTGAAGAACCATTGCTCCAATTGAGTTAAAGTTAAGGGACCATAACTACAATTTACTCTAACAAATATGTATTGCCTAATGGCATTATCGAAATTATGTGTATTACAGTACTGAATAAAGGAGATTAAGGAGTTGCTTAGGATTTTGCTTCAGGCTTGTGCTAAGAAAATTAAAAATGCAAGAAGGTTGTACTTATATATTCTTTGCATCCTAAGTTGTATGCTCCAATTCCAAATTGAAGATAAGTTCTTGAATTAGAGAATAATCGTGGGATTGTTGCGAGATGTTGAGTATTCGTAGGCAACGTTCACATCCCGCAACTATTGAGTGCGTAAAACCAAAACCAATAACAAATCCTAACTTCACACCAAGCTTTGAAGCTATAATAAATGCCACAACGTCCTTCACTATCATAGCATTTTAATCAAGGGCGTACTTACTGCGTATAATAAGAGCAGTAACAGGCGCCTCAGCCTATGTTGTAGTAAGTCTATAGGCCTGGATGATAGACTGTAATATACATGCATGAATTATTATGTGATCATACTACAATTATTCGATCCCTTAATTAAACCGTTAAGAAAGTACCAATAATTGCCTGACCTCTCTCTTTCGAATCAATTTGAATTTGCCTTCTAGCTCATTAATGTATGATTCTTAATCCAAACCCCACATCGATCGTGAGTTCATAATTAATCCTTCAACTATGTGGTCAATGCGTAACCCCAAAATATATGGAACGTTTTTCACACACATACTCTTAATTATGCGTAGTTATTGGATAAACAAATTTTGTTGTTGGTTTCTGTACTGCGTTTGTTTTCTGGTATAGTATTGTGGATTTGATTAAGGGGGGTGTATTCAATTGGGATTTTGAGGGATTTTAATTCTTTTAATGAATCTAAGGGTATTCAATCAAGATTTTAAGTGATTCTCTGAAATTCAAAGTGTATTCGATTGATGCACAAAATCAGTGAGGACTTTGGTACAACAGAAAGTGTTAAGTTTGTGACATTCGCTAGATTGCTCCGGTCACTAGTGTGGATAAGTATGTAAATGGATAGGGACAGAGAAGCAAACACAAGATGTACGTGGTTCACCCAGATTGGCTACGTCCACATAGTAGAGGAGTTCTCATTAATTGTGAAGGGTTTACCAAGTACATAGGTTCAAACTCTCATTTAGTGAGTACTAATAACTGATTTAGTACAAATGACATTAGGAAATATTGTGAGAGAATGATCTCTATTTATAGAAGAGAATTTCTAGTTTCATTCTGACATTGACACGTGTCGTGTTGTGATTGGCTTCTGATGTTGACACGTGTTGCGTTATGATTGGCTTCTAATGTCAACACGTGTCGCGCTGTGATTGGCCTCCTGGTTGGAGGGAAACTCTTCTGGGTCCTTAATGGTATAACGTTGAACGATGCTCGGTAGTTTCAGGATTGGTCAAGTATCGTACAAACATATTCAATTAAAATTTTAAGATAGTTTATTAAAATCCTTAGAAATCTGAGTGTATTCAATTAGAATTTTAAAGAAGTTTATAACATTTCAAGTGTATTCAATTAGAATTTGAATTTAAAGAATTTGGAAAAGTTGAGGAATTAGAGGGAATTGGAGAGATTTTGTAGTGTATTTTAAGCATCTACAAATCTCACATCTCCCCATGAGATTTTGAGGGAACTGAATCAAAATTTTATATGGAATCTCTACAAATCAGTTAAACTCTACAAAAATCCATAGATTTATAAATCCATTAAAATCTCTCAAATTCTCAATTGAATACACCCCTAACTTTGTTTCCATTATTGTACTCCAATTAGGGTTCCCATCCCGAAACCCTAGCATAGACCAATGGGACCAATGGAGATAGAGAGTGCGTGTTCCCCTACCTAATGATGAATATAAGTTAAAATTCTACATTGATCATCTTACAAAACAAATCACGTGAAGACAATATCAATGCAATTAGTGATATTTTGAAACTTTAACACATGAACCTTAATTAGAAAACAACATAGACCAATGGAGCCAACGTTAGAGAGATGCTAGAGAAACCCTAATAAGAAAACAGCATAGACCAATGGAACCAACACTAGAGAGATGCTAGAGGGAGACTCTGCGTTTTCCCATCCCAAAACCCTAATTAAAAAACAGCATATTCCAATGGAACCAATGTCAGAGATAGAGATAGAGATATCGAACTGTGGCTTTTCAACATTGATTTAATGTAGTGTGGGAGAGAAGTGGCAGTTTCAGAAAGGAGTAAATATCTACCTAGTTAATTAGGAACTGGTGAATTCACCGCCAGATCTGCAAAGCCTGGAAAGTCAATCCTGTGAAAACAATTAACCTAGCTAGAGGAATTCAATACCGAGGGACCTAGCTGTGTGTACTCACACACACACACAAAAGGTCGTCCCCAATGAGGAATTCAATACCGAGGGACCTAGCTGTGTGTACACACACACACACATACAAAAGGTCGTCCCCAATGATCTCCCTTCCTGTCGTTTCCAACTTTTTGCTATACAGACACCAACCTTTAAATATAATAACTCACCCGAAAACAAAACAGAAACTGCTCCTCCCATCTCCAAAATAGTAGGTCTCATATTTTATAGTTTCTCAAGGAAAATTTATTTACATGGACCTGACTCATATATTAGGTCTTCATATTTTATATATTTTTAAGGAAAATTTTAGTTTATATGGACCTGACTCATATATAGGGCAGATAAATGCTGACTACCTTGCATGAATTCCACACAAATATCGTTAATCTTCTGTGTCCACTGATATGAATTGTCACGCCCATTGAGGCAGAGGTGCAGGGCCTAGAGTTTCACGTAAACGCACAAGCCCTTAAGGCACGTAGCCATACTCATCCACCACAATCTATCTATGTAGGAG